TCTCTCTCTCTCTCTCTCTCTTCACATGCAGCTCCCTTCCATGCATACGCAGTTGAGATGATTGCCTGCATATATATATGAGATGACAACGAGGACCTGAACACGAACCAGGTTTTAAGAACACCTGGTATCACATCATTTGGGAAGCCTTTTATGAAGGATGGTTCCGTCCAGATCTCTCAGTGTTCTGAACATTGAAACAGGTATATAGCCTGGATACATTTATCGCTACCATCCGAGTATGTCCCACTACTCGACAAGGAAACAGATATAATAACAACCTTTGTCAGCCAACCGAAAGACGAAGCGCATGACCACCACAATTGCAAGGCGCAACTCAACACGAGAGAATGAACCAAACACTGAACAAAGAACTACAATCCCACGAACGACAACAGCCCCTCCACAACAAGAAAACCACAGCAGCAACACGGCGGTGACCATGGAAAACCACCACCGAGACCCCTTTAGCTGATAACCCAACGAACAGTAGCAACACAGCATCAAGAAGAAGAAGAAGAAGAACATAAAGAAGAGCCAGATAAAAGACGAAGAGTATCACATGATCATGACGATGCTGATGCTGATGACGTTAATGACGATGATTGTGGTGGTGGCGATTGATGGTGATGATGGGAGGAAAAGGAGGAGAAGGGGACAAGGAAAAGAAACAGAACAAAATGCAGGGGGAGGAGGGTGGAGGAGAAGGGAGGAGGCGACGAAAGAATCACATGCAGGAGGATGGGGCGGGAGAAGGGAGGAGGAAGAAAAAGGATAGGGTGGAAGAACAGCGGATGGACAAACCGGAGTACGAGGAGAAGGAATACCATTGGAGGAGACAGGAGGAGGAGACGGAAGATCCAACGGCAAAGAAGACGACGAAAAAAACGAATCGCACACAGCGGTCAGGATATAAAGAGGCCGCCGCTCTATTCTTAGTAATCTACTCACAATACCAGTGGCTTCATCAGTTTTTGACAAAGAAGTTGAAAGAGCCGACTGCAGAAAGGGAGACCAAGAGTGGGCGGGGGGCACAACAACAGTCGTCAAGGTAATAATAAAAGTAAACGACCACAGTGGAGAGCGAGGAATCCATTAAATTAAAACTTCATTCATTTTTGTTTTGACACTCTTGAAGAGGCGGTAGGTAGAGTTGCCTCTGAACGGGAAAGAACATAAAGCTTGCAGCGTTGAGTATACAAACAGCTTAGAAAAAGCTGAAAAAATCAAAGAGCTCTTGCCGACAGCCAACGTCCTCTCCGGGCAGCGCATCAAGCACGTAAACCTGGCCGGAAGAAACGGGCACCATAACTTATTCGAGATGAATCGACACAGCACCACAACCATCTACAACCATCACATAGTAACCTCCTAAGCATCGCTCCAAGGCAATCAGGAGCGCGGTCCTACGGGTCTAATACCCCTCTTCTCGTCAATGGATTTAGTCCTATAACGCGTAAGTACTGACAGACGTCATGATTCTGACCAGGTGCTATGACGCAGAGGCACAGAGACACGAACACTGACCACTCTGAGGCATACAAACAAGAATTAAACCGAAAGGGAGGTACCCTCGCAGCAGGGCAGCACCACTGTGACAGAACCCAAAGCCAAACACCACGTCAAACGACCCCCCCTTCTCCACCCCCCCTCCCCGACCACTTTTTCACTGGTTTGCCAGCCTGGCTTTTGTAGCCAAGGTGAAAATCAACACTTCATTCATCCTTCCATGTCCCCTTGGGAAAACGGGACTACTCTACCTCTTCGCTCCCAGGGCTTCAATGGCGGCTCCAAGCGACCAAGCGACCTCTACATCTTTCCCTTCATACTCTATCTGTTTGATGACGGTCACATCCTTGCCCTCGGGCAAACCTGTCACAACAAGCACAGAACGAGAACGTAACAGACCACGTAAACAAATTAGGTCCAGCATCATCATCATCATCATCAACCACAACAACAACAACAACAACAACAACAACAACATATATATATATATATATATATCCTAAACGAAATATTATATTGTCCAGACGCATTTCAAGTAATTGCAAAAGTACTTGACCTGTTGGGCCTTTAGCATTTCTGGCGATAGTTACATACTATGGGGCAAACGCATTTTCATCTTGCCTGCTAGCAAAAGTAGGGGGTGGGGAGTTTCACACAATGAGAGGGGATTCTGAGTCAACATCTCTACGTGCCCGTCCCAAAGCAAGGATCTTTTTCTTTGAAAAAAAAAAAGCAAAAAGAAAAAAAAGCAGCAAGGATTTTCTTCTTCTTATTTCACAAAATGGAAGACGTGATGCACGGCTGGAAGGACATATCATCAAAAGACCCAGGTGCTTTCCGCTGGTTTCGGGGATAGAGATACTCACCAAAGCCTTCTCTTAAAAGGGAAACACAGAAGCAGATGTCAAGGCAGAGGAACGGTCGGTCCTTTGGTTCAGTGTTAGGGAATTTCGTTCCCATTTCAGCAAACGGAGTGTCGCACACTTCCCTGGACGCTCTTGAGAATTGATTCAGTTTCAAATCCACCTGCTTCGCATCCATATCCGTGATGATGCCAAGCTGCAAGATAGAGAAAGGACCCGCACAAAATATCACAAAAGCTCAGTGCTGCATCCGTATTGCACAAATTTTCTCCCAACGCCTACCAATCCTGATCAACATTCCGACATAGTAGACTTGTGACGGTACTGTCTTCCCCCGAATAGAACGCATGGTCATTATCGGTGCATCTAGACAGAAGTTGCCCCACATGCAGGCATAATTATCGTATGTTTTATTCAGGTGATGAAGACGGGGTAGCCACAGATGTCCTCTGCCATCACTGTCTTCGGGGGAAGGCCCCACTGGTGCTATTTTTGTGCTTGGAAAGCCTGAACCCGACTGTCAAAAGTGGTCAGGTTCATGCTGACATTGCACAAACACAGCACCAGCAGTGCCTGAGGGTTCAAACTTCAAAAGCGTTTAAACTTTGATGAAGGCGTATAGGGCATGTAATTCTTTGGTCACTTTTTATTTATATAGGGCATGTAATTTTTCAGTCACTTTTTATTTATATTTCTTCTCAAATCTGACACGAAACTTTGCCACATTGCTGATGTGCAGGTTGGATTCCAGTTTCAAAAGCTTCTTTTTGTCACGGACCCCCCCCCCCCAAATCCCCCACAAAAAAACTCTGCGTCATCCTTGTGCCGAGCCATGCTAATCTTCTCTGTACCCTTCTTTTTTTTTTTTTTTCCCTTTTCTTTTTCACCATTCCAATTTTATCGGATGTCTTGAAAGGAGTTCGTCACAGTCTTTGCCAAATAATAATCTGTGAGATTTTCAAAATTTGCATTCACAATCCCTGATAGACAGGTGGTCCAGCTGCTCCCTAGTCCAGACATCCAGATCCGGATCCGGACCTGCCAGGACCTGCCAGGTGTGTGGCTCTACCTACTATTGTTCAGCGATCGCCCGCCCCTGCAGCCAGACCACCCGTCTATCAGGGTGGATCTGGACAGACAGGTGGTCCAGCTGTAGGGACCATCGCTGACCCCTGGATAATGGGGTCATGGATGTCCAAGAAGGGGTACCAATTAACCCCTGCCCATGTCTATCAGGAAAGATCCCATGACACCTGGATAACTGGGTCATCGGATGTTCAAGAAGGGGTGCCAATTAACCCCTACCCCTGTCTACGAGGGGCAATCCCATGACCCCTGGATAACTGGGGTCATGGGATATCCAAGAAGGGGTGCCAATGAACCCCTACCTCCATCTGCGTATTGCTAGCTTCTGCAAGTCAAGCACACAGATGCAATGACTTGCTGGTTCCAGGTTGTCTGTAGCCTCCCTCTGATGAGGCTGTACCATAGGTAGGGACAGATTCGTAATTTTGTTTGGCTGAGGGCTAACCGAGAGACCTACCTGTGAGGAAAAATTATGGGGGACATATTTGTAAATGTAGGAAATATATGGGCCCAGTGCTAACTCGAATTTCCCCCAGCTACCCTAACTGCGAATAGCAGACCCGGGCTCCCCCTAGGACAGACGGGCCCAATGGGCCTACACTGATAGACGGTCCTATAGCCTATAGCCGGGTAGGGAGAGACCCTACGGGCCGAAACAGAAACGGTACCGGTCAGTCAGTCAGTCTGGTCTAGGTCGAGTCTAGGCTAGGGTAGAGTATAGATAGGTTGAGAAAATTGGTCCGGGGCTTTTCGGAAGTTGACACTTCATGGTGGAAGTTGCTGCGCACGCGGCGTCAGGTCGGGGTGACTGATACATGGGTCGGAGACGGCAGACATAGCCAGACTGGGGTCAACGCTGTCTGCTCTGAATCTCTCGGAGTCAAAGCGGTCTGGGCTATTAGGGGTTTGATGCATTGGAGCACGTGGTGCACTGCTGCCCCTCCTCGGGAGTAGGGTCCCAGTGGCGATGCAGCCATAGCTGCATCTTCTCACAGATTATCATCGTCTGGACTTCATCTCCATCAGGAACTGTTGGCGCTGAGCTCCTTCTTCATCATCTGGGTGGCGATTGGCTCTGGGAACCTGTTTCATCTTGGCGTAGGCCACTGAGTTGGATGTCAGGGTGGCGTTGGGTGTTACACGGGTTTCTGGTGCTATTTTTTTGCTGTCCAGAGTGTGTGGGGTTGAGACGCTACCCCTCTGAGGGTAGCGCAACAGGCTTCTGAGTTTATTCAGTGATAACGATGCTCTGAGTTTAATAAACACTTGTAATACTGTGTGTGAGTTGTCATCTCTTGATTGATTTCTGGCTGTGATCTCTCGGTTGTCTTCTATGAATGATTGTTGGGATTCGTGTGTGGAGAGAATTCACAGAGTTGTGTATTCTGTCACTTCGCTCTTCTGAGTCTTCCGCTGTGTTCTTTCTGTTGGGCGGTGTGACACTCCACTACCTCAACCCTTCCTTCTGTGCACGTATGGGCGTGTACGAGAGTTCCTGTGAGTGAGCGTTGACAAAATTTCAACAGACAATCATGTTCATAACACAGAAATCTTCAGTACTTGACAGATGACCGCCCTGCCAAGTAGCGTCCATCGACTCATCCTTCTCAGGCCCTCGTTGCCTTTTTTTTTCTTTTTCTTTGTGTGCAAGAAGAAAGGGCTACTGCTTTGATATATCATCATCGAACTGAGCCGTCCTGGATATTTCAGAATGTTCCTTTTTGTGCTCATCTGATTGCATGTGGATCCAAACTTGGGTCTGTCCTTCAACACTTGATGGGTGTACCCACTCAGCTAGGCCAGTCAGTACTCAGACTCTCTTTCTGACACTTTCGTTGGCTATCAAGACAAGAGAGACCTGAGTGAATCACAGCCGGAAGTATCATTTTGTTTCCGAGCTGAGATCAAGTCAGCAACCGACACTGTAGAGACTACCGTCTTCACCCGAATAGAACGCCCCGTCATTATATCTGTACTTGGCACAACTTGCGGTCCAGATGCAGCGATAATGACCGGGCGTTCTATTCAGGCGAAGACGGTAGCTCAGTTGGAACACCACCCCTGGACTGTTGAAATACAGACTCGAAGTTCGAATCCAGATACTATCAGATGGACCGAATAAAGTCATTCTGAATTACACGGGGCTGATCAGTTCAATGCTGATATCTCAAGGCCGTCACCCTTTGAAACAAAAAAAAAAAAAAAAGTCAGCAACCGGCTAAAAAGCAGGACAACAGGAGTATAGAGGTAGTCTGAGGCTTATCCGCAAGGAGGTCAGGATCGAAAAAAAAGGCAAAAAAAAAAAAAAGAAAAAAAAAAAAGAAGGCGGGACAATACCTTTTCCTGCCCTTTGGCTAAGATCAAGTGTTTTTTCTGTTTTTTTTTTGTTTTTTTTTTCCAAGTTCAAATGCAGTACCTGTTCTGACTCTCTGATCAGTTTCATATCAATCAATCCGTGGTTCATCAAGCAATTAAAAAAATATATAAAAAAATGCACAGGCGAAATTGAATATTCCCAAGAGTTGCGTCTTACTTGTCTTGCCCGGTCCCAAAAGTACGAAGCCAGGTAAAGAATCTTTGGCCCGCCCGCTGACGAGGCGCCTGCCCAGACCCCGCCAAACGTGCACTTGTCGTAATCACAGGCTACCTCTGTACGCAATGCCTGAGTAGCTATACGAGTGCACTTCCGCACATCGCTTCCATTTTCTTCAGAAAATGCCGGATATACCTTGTTATTATAAGTATAGTTACCTGGAGACAACATTTGAAAAAACAGAATAGAAGAGAAACAGTGTTAGACGACCAGTACATGGCCCCCACCAAGTTGAGAATTGCGATTGAGCCCCTCCTAAAATTTCGGAGGCTCGGGACAGGGCGCCCGAAAAAGGATTAGCAGAAAAAAAAAAAAAAAAAAAACTTTGTCCCATGCCATGGAGTGGCACTAGGTCCCCAGCCCTGAACACAAAAAAACACAAAATCCTGCCTGCCCGCCCACCCCGAGGCAGGCCCTGTCCCGAGTCCCCTAACGTTGTGGAGAGGCTCATTCGAACTACCCAGATTGTCCTCTTGGGTTCAGAAGGGTGGGCATTTGGCAGATTTCGCTTTCCCTATGAATGGTTTCTGCATGACTCGCTCTACATCATCATCATCATTGATCCTAATCTCCACACAATCGGGCTTAGCCCACCTCTCTGAGAGCCTCTATTCGTTCTACCTTCTTCCCCCGAATACAAGGTATGGTCATTATAGCTGTATCTGGACAGAAACTTGCCCCAAATACAGGCATAATGACCGTACATTGTATTTGTGGGAAGAAGGTAGCACTGATCCAGACAAGAAACGAATGGCAAGTTTGCATTCACAGCCTGACACCAATTCTGCCGCAATACCTTCGTAGGCGGAGGAGTCTAAAGTCCCGGCAAATCACCGTGGTATAGATTTTCCTGTAATAAAGTAATTTCTCAAGCTTTGCTAAATGCCACAAATCGATAAGGACCTCACATCCAGGACACCAGAAATCTAGCAACTAACATTTCACCGTCCGACCTCCCCAAGACATACTTAAACAAGGACTTTTATGGAGGTATCTGAACTCGATTACGGCCACATTCAGTGGGATAAATATGTCTTTCTAGGACCTCCGAAAACAACCATCAGACTTTCACATACTGTGGCATACTGCGTAGCCACACGGGCCCTACAGGGCCCGTCCCAGACAGTCAGCCTAAAAGCCTAAAACTTAGGGCTTACAGGCCCCGGAGACATTTCAGCCTGACAACCGAATTCAGGCCCTACAGGCCCTAAAACGGTTGCCAGACTGAAG